TGAAACACATCCGTGCACACACAGTCCCTTTATACTTGACAAAGGCTGCCATGTGCTTTAAGGTGGAATAGAATGTCTTCTCAATAAATGACACTGGACGAAAGAGTTACTTGTCTAAAAAATAAATGTAAATGTATTCTCACCTTATGAAACCACTGCTTATTTTTTATCTTCTTATTGTAAATATTATATGATTTATTTGTAAAATTGACAAATAAAAATTACATACAGTCGTCCTTCACTCTTCTGGGTGACTGGTCCCAGGATCCTCACTCAGATGCCAAAATCTGCAGATGCTCCAGCCTCTTACATGAAATCGCTTAGTGAGTGCAAGTAACCCTGCACATCCTCCTGTGTACGTCAGATCCTCTCTAGATGACTTATAATTCCTGATACAGGCTACGCACAGCTTCACTCGGGTCCATTCAACATACTTTTGCTTTTTGGAACTTTGTGGATTCTTTTCTCTGAATATTTTTTGTTTATCGTTGGTTTGATACACAGCTGTAAACCCACAGATATGGAGGACCGACTGTATATTTATAGTCTGAAAGATGATGTTTTGATAATTGTCCTTGTGGAGATGAGACTAACAAGGGCGATGACCCTGCAGATGTTTCGTCTTGGAATTACTCTGCGAGCTTTCCAGGTCTGCAGCGAGTAAGAATAGCACTTGTCCATCTGATTCACCATCCTCGGAATCTCCCCTGTGCTGCATCTTTGGATGGAAATTGGAGTCCCAGGGACACACCAGGCTCCACCTGCTTTCAGAAGCTCCCAGTCCAGGGGTGAGAACCCAGTGGAGAACATGGGGGGTTATATGGACATAGTCATGATAACACCAAATGTTTAGGCAAAAAAAAAGTCACATTACCTAACTCATAAGGGCAGACGTGTTTATTTGAAGAGAACTACATCAAAATTACATATAAAAAGAGCTTAAAAATTTTACTGATGACAGAAGGCTGCAAAATCCCTCAAAGTTTGAGGGAAGGTGGAACAGCATGAGGCAAGGTGGAACAGCATGTGTCTAAGTGCTGTGTTAAGAGGGAGCCTCTTGTTATGTCTGGATTTGTGAGTTCCTCAGTGTGACTGCAGTCTCAGGTCGGACCAGGAAGTAAGCCAGTTAGGTTGGAGAGGTGGGCAGGGGTCAAGTAAAATGGAGAATTGTGTGTTACGCAAAGGAGTGTGTTTTCCGTACAGCAGGCAGTGGGGACCACAGACATTTGTAAGCAAGAGAGAGCCACGTTCAGATTCACAGTGTGAGGAAGAGTGATCCCCTAAGATGGGGACTCACGCCTTCAGGTCCCAGCTGCTGTTACATTGGAACTGGCAAGCCGGGTTTGAGTCAGGGCCATTGTCTCCCTAGAGGACCCCCTCAGGCCTGTCTGTGGTGCTCACGGACAGGAGACAACTTTCAATCTTGGCTCCGCATTTGGGAGTTCCATGTACACACTGGTTTCTGTTGGGGGTCTCTTGGGCCTCTGAGAAGGGCGAGTGACTTTTCTCTGTGTGAAAACGCAGTGATCCAGCTGTGCGTATGTCACCTCCTGAGGGTCTTGTTCTTCAGAGTCCTGGAGAGATGGGAATGTTGAGTGAGGGAGGGGCTCACATTCTTCGGGACTATTAGGGAATAAGACTCCATGCCCGAGGCTGGGCCAAGGAGGACCTACCTCCCTGTTCACTGTTCTGTCCGCCCCAGGCTCTTGGTCCACTACAGCAGCATCTGTAGGAGACGGAAGTCATCAAAACCCCTGGGAGGGCCCTTCTGGGTCCTCATTTCATGTGCAGACACCAACACACAGGGGGAGGCCATGGGTGCCTGAGGCCCCTCAGCTGCCAACGACCTGACTCACACATTCTATCTCTCTGAGTACAAGGACCCCTCCCATGAAGAGCTCTCAATTCCCATCCATTGATTCTGTCTCCCACTTTCTGCGTGTCATGGAACCTTCTCCTGGATGTCAGTGGCGGCAGGGACGTGAGGATACAGTTCAGAATCAGGCAAAGGTCTGTGAGCTGAGGGCAGGGGCAGAGTGTGTGTTGCGTTCTCTAGAAAGCCCTGCCTCTGCGGCTCCTGCCTTGGGCCAGAGACCATCCTGCCAATGAGGAACACACACCTGTGTGCTCCCATCACGCTTCCCCACACGGCCCTGAGGTCTCTGGCCTCTGCTTCGTGAGACTTACTCTTTTTGGTGGACCACCAGCGATGAAAAAGGAAGAAGAGGATGATGAAGAGGATGATGACCCCTGAGGTCCCAATCAGAACGTGCAAGTGTCTGGAGTTACCTGGAGGAAGATGGGAATCCAATAAGAAGCTGACCACAGCAGTTCCTCTTCCTGCATTGTCTCTTATCTCCTGATTGGCAGGTAGCCACGTACAACGTCTCTTTAGGACAAGCACCCAGATGGCGGGAGACCCGGCTTTCTCCTGCTTTCTCAGTTACAGTTCTCATAGTAACCACAGAAATAGCTGATGATACAACTGCTTTGGTGTAGATGTTTGATGCCCTTCAACCCTCACATTGAAATTTAACCCCCAGTGTGGGAGGTTGG